TTCTGTGGGGTTTTTAAAATATGGTTACACCAAGCTCTCTCTCTCTCTCTCTCTCTCTCTCTCTCTCTCTCTCTCTCTCTCTCTCTCCTGGTGATTATGACAGTCATATATTCTACTATCCCAAAACTTGGCCAGCAGTTCTAATCCTAGAGCTCCTGATCATCATCTCTACCAAGAATACACCTGCAATATGAAAAAGCATCCTCTTAGAAGTGGTACCCTTGAGCTGTGTGCAATGTGAAGAACTGTACACAGTGGCCCTGCCCTCAGAGGCTCATCTCCAAAACAGAATAATCCTCATGAAAGTGGTAGAGAGGTAACTAAGGCCTGACTTCCTTTTCCCTGCTCCTGAGGGAGCAGTACCATGATATGTTGAATCACATAGACTCTGAAGCCAGGCTCCCCTTCAAGTTTTTGTGGGAAAGTAATTTGGGTCAGGTAACTTATACTCTTTAACCCCTGCATTCCCAATATGTTAATGGAGAAATCATAGCTCTTGCCTCCTAAGGTTGTCATGTGGAATAAACGCAAAAGCTGGATTCAGTAACTTCTTTGGAAAAAATATCTGGTGATGATATCATTAGTTCAGTGTATAGCAGGTGTTGTAATGACCAAATACTAAAAAGTAAAGTAAATACTAAAAAATAAGCTTGTCTATTCATGAGTTCCCCCCACCTTAATTTAAACATTTAAAGATTAAAATTAGTTTAAGGACGTTTCTGAATTAAATTTATATTTTAAGTAAATATCAAAATTTCAGTTTATAAAGGATTCAGTCATTTTTTGTCTTAAAGTATATGTTCAAAATTTAATCTGCTTTCCAACAGTTTGAAGACCAGGGTTACTGAAGACACAAATAGCTGTATCACTTTGGGTGACCTTTCAGAGCACTGACTCAGAGCCAAGATGGCTTAAGAGTGTCTGAAATTTTATGGAAGAGAAAACTTTGTACCGGCTTCTACTTTGATGAGGGTGTAACTGAATTTTCTTGCCCAGAACAAAGTCTCAGGTAGCTCTTTCGCATTGACTTTTAAGGTATATGCACTGTGACCTGAGCTCAGAATCAGGCTAAACAATCTTGTGACCAGATATTATTATCTTCTTTCTACCTGTTCCTCCACTCTTCAAGCACCAAGTCCTGTTTTTAGCAAATGGTTGCATTTTCTGAACATATTTACAAAGGACACGCACAACAAACAGCAAGCTCACCTCTGAAACTCACGATGAAGAGTGAGGAATGGAGGGGCTTTGTGTGCCTGTAGAGCTTTCCCAGAGCTTCTCTATCCTTGGTCCAGGCTTATACTTCTGCTATAGTACTGCAGATTTTTCTACTCTCACACTCATTTGGAAGCCTCCTTTTCCTGCCCTTGTTATTTGCTTGAAAGGACACACTTTCCCTTCTCATCACCGTACCAAATGTTGACAAATCAACCACATTACTACAAGTCCTGATCACTTAGAATTTCACAAAGGAAGTTGAACTATGAGATTTGTTACCATTCCAGATGACAACAGAAATCTATGTATACAGCACAAGTAATTATTTTATAATGGCATTTAGCAAATTTTATAACTGTAAGCATCATTTAGCTGATAGTAGAGCTTGTTATCTAGCAATGTTCAACCCAGAAACCCAGGATTCTAAAGGCAGTTAGGAGAATGCTGAGACAGTTCATGTACAGTCTGTCCACAAAAACAGTAAAGGATCCTGCGAGAGCCTTTCATGAATGGAAACAGTGGCTTAAACCTTTCTCTGCAGTTCACATCAGAAAGTCGGTGTGGATCACTGGAGGAAAACAGTTTGCAGCTCTTAATGATATCTTTCAAAAGGACT